ATGTCCCACAGGCACAACAAATGAAAATACATCTAAAAATTGAGCACATTTTATCCCCTTCTTTTGCTGACCCGTTTTATCCTCCATCCTACCTCAAACACACATACAAATCTTGGCTTCCTCTGGAATTCCTGATCTCAGTTTCTGGCGCCACCATCCACTGAGTAACTCAAGCCAGAAACAGGAAAGTAATTACAGACAACTCCTTGTCTCTCATCTCTTATAGTCAACCAATTGCCAAATCATACTGATTAAATCTCCCTCACATCTCTCTCCTGCTCTCCATCCTTACTCCCACTGTTCTAGTTCATGTTCTGGTTCACGGTCCCTGTTCATGTTGTGGTCTTGGGTCTCTGATCCAGCCTACCTCCTTAAATTCAATTTCATTATTCATAGTCACCTGTTTAAGTCACAAACATGGCTATGCTCCCTTCTCCTCACAACCTATAAGCCCCTCTAGCTTAAGGATCAAGTTCAAGGTTTAATAAGGATCCTGACACATAAACTCCCCAAAAGCTGGGTCCTGCTTACCTTGAGAGTCACCCACCACTCCCTTGGTTTGGGCTTCATGCTCTGACAACTTCACATTGTTCACAATCTTGAGCACATATCATGGGCTCCACATTTCTGGGGCTCCTTTATGCCTTTTCATCCTTCAAGCTGCACTCAGGACCACTTCCTCCAAGCAGCTGCCCTCACACACGCAGGTTCCAAAAGTGCCCTACACTGTGCTCCCAGGCACACTTCTTTACATCAGCACCTGGCACAATTATGTGCCTGCAACTCTCTTCTCCTAACCAGACTTAAGTTCATCAAGGACAGGAAAGTGGATCCATTCATTCATTTATTCAGCTAACGTTTAGGTATCTCCTATGTCACAGCAATGTACCAGGCATAGGTACATTCCATTACCTATGTACATTACATAAGTAAAAGCTGTATTTTTCATCTCTACACCTCCAACACCTAGCACAGTGCCTAGCACCAAGAAGATGCTCAATAAATATTTGTTGAATTTCACTGAGCCAGCCAGGTTCAGGTAGGTGAGTGAGACAACGTTTGAAGCAGGATGCTGGCCAGAAGAGGTAGTGTGGAGTCGTAGAAATGGCACAGGCTCCAGCATCAGGTAAAAAGGGTTCAAGCTCCAGCTCCACCCCTTCATGGCTGGGTCATCTTGGCTTAAAACCTTGCCTCCTTATCTCTGAAATCCGAATTACTAAGGTGATGCCAGCTTACTGTGTTATTGGAAGAATTCAATGAGATATTTAAGAAAATATAAATTATAAATTGTTCAGCCTTATGAAAACATGGAGTCACATTGAGAGCATCAGAGTCATAGAAGGCAGGGCCCCAACACCAAATGGGGTGGGGTTGGAGGCTGCAGGGGAAGGGGCAGCAGGGCCAGAGATGGAGAAGCAGCGGGACCTAGTTTTCAAAGCCCTGGGGCTGAGATGTAACCCGAGGCACTGCCCCAGTTGAAACGTGGCGCTCTCCTATCACACTGCGCCAGGGTGCTGCTTATCAATCTCTTCCCCTTCAAGACAGTAACAAAAGCTTTACCATTTGCCACCAGGGTCTACAGCAGTGGGCAGAAAGCGGCTTCAGCACTCTCCCCATCTTTTGAATATAAAAGAAGCTCTTTCTAACCCTCCATTTTTAGTAACTTTGGCCAATGGCTTTTATGTCCTTCCTTCCAGCTCCACTCTAGCCAGCCACTCAGAGTCATGTGAAAAGGGAAACTCCACAGCCAGTGGGCCAGGGATGAGGTCTGGTGCAGCCACAGCGTCAGGAAATAGTTGAGTGGAGGCCAGGCCTCCTGAGGGCACAGCTCTCCTGTTGGGATCCACTGCTCCCCTTCCTCCCTTCACAGAGCCCTTGGGAAATGAGACAACTTGCTTTGGGGCTGTTCCTGGTGCACATTAACGTCTGCACTGGGAAGGGTCGGGGGGTGGGGAACAGAGCTGTGTGGGTACACTCTGATGCACAAGGATGCTGAGCAAATTCTGACACTTTTCCTTGAGAGACAAGGCCCTGGTAGGGATTTACCTTAAGCCATTCAGCTTTTCTGAGACCCTCTTCTTTCTAGGACCTTATATTGAAGAATTCAAAAGCCTTGTGAAAATTCCATCCAGAGCACACTGATAAAGGTCCTGAGGAGAATGCTGATGCTTCTTGGACAGTGAAAACTATTCTAATCCCCAAGGCACAGAGGGGAAGAAAGGAGCATTTCTAGTGTGTCTGAAGATGTAGGCATTTAGACAAAGAGAAAATGAGAAAGCACCAAACAGTGAGTGTGGGATAGGATTGACAGGACAAAAATTCTAATCCATAAAGTCGTTATACACAACAAAACTTACAATTGTACAGCACAGTCACAACCTACAAAGTGCTTTCACTTCTTTAGCTGAACTTGATCAAGTTTCTTAACCTCCTCGAGCCTCAGTTTGCTCTGGGAAATTGGGAGGATTAAACCACGTAAAGTGGGGCCGGCCCGGTGGCGCAGCAGTTAAGTTCGCACGTTCCGCTTCCCAGCAGCCCCAGGTTCACCGGTTCGGATCCCTTGTGCAGACACGGCACCGCTTGGCAAAAGCCATGCTGTGGTAGGCGTCCCACGTATAAAAAAGTAGAGGAAGATGGGCATGGATGTTGGCTCAGGGCCAGTCTTCCTCAGCAAAAAGAGGAGGATTGGCAGCAGATGTTAGCTGATCTTCCTCAAAAAAAAAACAAATCACCTAATGTAGGGAAAGTACTTAGCCAAGTTGCCTGGCGCATCTTAATGACTGGGAGCTGTCATTAGTCCTTTTGGTTGATCCTCATGAAAACCTTTGGAGGTAAGCAGGGCACTTGTAATTGTGCCCATTTTACAGATTACAAACGCAAAGCTGTTCAGTAGCCCTGAGTGAAGGGCCCAGGGTAATTCAACTAATGGCCCTCGGCAGGCTGGAATCCAGGACGGCCAGGGTTTTTTTCCACTCTAAGCAATGTCTCTTTTTTTTTTTCAGTTGCTGCTGCTGCTGGCCTGCCACTGAGATCCACATCTGGGAGATTTTTTTAGTGGAAATACATTGGGTTTTGCTCAGCCGTCCATCCACACTCTTACTCAATCCCCTGGGAGCACCTGGCATTTGTGACACAGCTACTGGGGCCAAGGAACCATGTTCTTCAGGTTGGAGTTCACTGATTCACGGGAGAAAGACCTTGGCTTCATTAGCAGGTTTAACTCAACTGGACAAAGACTACGAGTAAGTTTTCAGACTCGTTTGTGTGTTAGGGACTGTGTGAAATTTACTTTTGAAAAAAAGCACCAAAAGGACCCAATCCCCAGGGGTGGCTTACCTTTGCCTGGCCATGGTGGGCTCCAGGCCACACTACACACTCAATCCCCACTCACCCCACTCCCATCGACCTTCTTCCAGGAAACCTACTCTAAGGATTGAGCAGAGAGCAGACGGTTAATAAAGACTAGTTGGCCAGACTGACTGAGCGCTCCTGGGGCTATTATTCCCAAAGTAATAACAGCCATCATCTACATAAGACCACTTTGCATGTTTAGGGCTTTGCACTTTTCCCAAACACTTGTATGATCTCATGGTAACAGTTAGCTCACTCCCCCACTTTCTAGCACCTCTTCCATCTTCCAAGAAAACCCTGAAGTTTTCCAAATCTGTAGGAACAAATAATCCAAAAAGAACCCAAGTTGCAGGAGAGTGTAGACTATCCTTCTTATTTTGTTAGATTGAAGGAATCTGAAGGCCTGGTTTTCAGTATGTAGTAAAACAATGGATTGATATTGAGTGACTCTAAGACAGAAAGAGAAAAGCCACCCTCCTTTTCCCCACCCCCCAAAAAGTCACTACCTAGACAGCTCTGAGAAGGACCCACTTAGCTGTTCCAGGGACCCGTCACCCCCTGCAGGTAGCAGCTGTGCCCTCAACTCACTGCTTAGAAATTGGTGACCAGCCAAAAAGAAAATTTGTAGCTATGTGTGATGATGGATGTGACTACATTTATTGTGGTGATTATTTCACAATATGCAAATATGTTAAATCATTGCGTTGTGTACCTGAAACTAATATAATGTTATATGTCAATTATATCTTACTTAAAAAAAAACTCTCATCCCAGCAAGTCTAGTTTTAAGACTGTGTCTAAGAAAATAATCCAGAATGTGAGCAAAGTTTTAACTATTATTTCAGCATTGCGTGTAATAATAAAAATCTGGAAAAAATTTTTTTAAAAAGAAATTGGTGACCTGTCAATGGATGTGTTAATTAACTCCATGGTGGGAATCCTTTTGCAATGTATACATACATCAAATCACCATGTTGTACACTTTAAACATATTACAATTTTATTTGTCAATTATACCTCAATAAAGCTGAAAAAAAAAAAAAAGAAATTAGTGACCTCCAACGTATTTTAATCTTGCTCCAACTCATTGTGATTGTCAGTCCGTCTGCATCGGAATGTGTCACCAGTGTTAGTCACCAGCAACACCAGAGACCTGCATGCTCACTGGAAACAAAACAGATGCTGTGTGCAGCAAGACTGCTGTGCAGGCGACCCGCTTAAAACAACAGCCAAAAAACACATGAATAAAACTAAAAGGGATAGTGTCATAGTCCATATTGACCTACAATGTTTTCAGAGCCCCTCACAGGATCTCTGGGGGAAGAAACAGCATCCTTTTGGACCAGAAAGCAGGTTTCAGGGGACCTGAGGAGTTGCAATGGAGAAGAAAGGAGAACAAAAAAAAACGTTTGCAGCTTAGCGCTCACTAACTGGGAAGAACGGGCATATTCCTGCACCCTTGCTCCTGGCAAGGGTAACGGGCTTAATCCACTCTGAGGAGCTCTGTTAGAGAATGAGCAAGGACTATGACACAAGGACAGTACCTTTCGTGCCTGAGTTGTCCTGTACCTCCCAGCAAGACTTGTGGCTCAGGATGGCCAGTTCAGGGACCCACTCAGGCCCTGCTGGAAGGAGCTGGTCTCTCTTACCTGTCTGGTGGTAGACAGTGCAGCTGGGAAGGCGTGGCTGGCGTGGGCCCCAGGTGGGCATGGCTCGGCAAGGCTCTGAGTGACAGAATCAGCCACCTCCTGGGACATGGGAGAGGGTGCCAGAGGGGCAGCCCAGCTCACCTCAGTGCCCCTAGCAGAGCTGCTGCAATGAGCCGCTCCCGCTGGCTCCGCTTCTCTCCCGGCTTTGCATCTCATGAACAGGGAAAGAGCTAGCACAGGGAGAAGGGGTGGGGAAGCGGAGGGAGGGGAGGGGGCACTCTAACAGATGATGCGCACTGCCACGCAGAGTCGGGGGAGGACCGCAGACTCCAGCAGGATGGCACTGCCTGTGTGGCTCTCCCGCTGACAGCTCGCTCCCTGGCAGCTGCCTCCGAGGGGCCGCTGGCTCTAGAGAATTCAGGGAGAGGCAGAGTACAGAGGGGGTGGAAGAGGATGGACGGGGGAGGGAGGAGATCCCCTGGGTTGCACAGCCCAGAGGAGGTGAAGCAGGTGACTGGCATGGGGAGAGAGGATGACCTGCTTTGGCTCAAAAGCAGACCAGGCTGAAGGAATCTGCTCTAGGAGGTAGTGTTAAGGGACAGACAAAGCCCCACATTCCTGGCCTGCCTTCAAGGTTGTCTCTCTCTCCTTCCATAACCAACAAGCAAGGCCACTCTGACTTAGGAATTTGGAACGGCTAGGCGTTTTGGATCAAGCACAGCTCCAACTTTCTCAAAGAGGAGAAAAAAATTAGGCATGAAACAGGGTAATGCATGGACTGTGTAGTGTCATTTGTCACTCTACCCTGCAAGCAAGCCCAAATGCCCCCTCTGCCATCTGGCCAACCTGTGATCAGGGGGCCGTGGTGGCAAGAATGGGAGCGAGAAGGACCAGGAGGGTACGGAGACAGTGTGTCATGTGATGCTGTTGTCTGTAAAGTTCCATTTGGATGGTCAGGAGCAAAACCTTCTGGACAGCTTGGGCCAGTGCCTGGAGCGGCTTCCAAGCATGAGGGAAAACCCTTTGCTTCTGATTCCAGAGTCTCTTCGACCTGCCGCCCACGTGCGGCAGGTTCACCACACAGGCCCCAGAGCTGACAGTCATCAGCTCTATTTACAACCACAGCCAGAGGAAGAGGCTGACAGGGAAAGAAGTAAACAAACAGTGGAAGCCAGAGAAGACCAAAGGAAGATGCAGCTGGGGACGCTCCGCAAGCGCAGCTAACGAAGGGAAAGAGATCTCAAATAAGCGCCTTCTCTGGAGGGAGGGGCAGGATGCAGAGGGGTGAAGAATGGACTGTGACAGATTTCTAGGGAATTGTGCATCCCTGCTACAAGCTACTTCTCCTTCAGGCCTGTCTCCAGAGGTCCTGACAAGCACTGACCCAGATGACCCCTCAGAAGGTGGCTGCTCCAGGTAGGACTCTGCCTCCATAGACATTCATGATCACCATTTAGCTGTTGCATAAAACATTGCACCAATTCAGCAAAATCAGGTCAATTCAGCAAACAGTCGTTGGAGCCTACTGTGTGCTGTGGGGGATGTAGAGATGACTAAGACATCCTTGTCATGTTGAGCATGAACCAAGAGAATGAGAGATTTAAATAAGTGACTCGAACAGCTGGATAGGTGAGCTAAAGACTCGGAGTGCCACAGGGGGGATGCTGGGGGTAGGGGAGACCAAGTCCACCTGGGAAATCAAAGACGTCCTCTTAGAGCAGGCCTCATCTGATGTGCACATCAAAGATTACCAGTGGATTTTGACAAGCGGAGTTGAGTGGAGAAGAGAATTCAGGCAGAGGAACAGCCTGGGCAAAGGCACAGAGTCTAGAGGTCCCTGGTGGGTTTGGCCAACAATGAGTGCTCTTTCTAAGGAGGCAGGAGCAGAAAGTAAAGTGTGATAGGAGGTCACAGTGGAGGATGTAATTTAAAGAACCCATTGTGACCAGCTAGTAAAACACTTTAAAGGAGTGTTGGTCTGATCGCTTCCATTATCAGATTTGTGTTTTGAGAAGATACTGAGTGGAGAGGGATTGGAAGGAAGTGAAGCCAGTCAAGGTTATTATAAATCCTCAGGTGAGACAGGATGAGAGCCAAACTAAGACAACAGACTTGAGAGGAAAGAACAAAATGCCATGATTTGGGAAGGCTGAATCAGCAGGACTTGATCTGATGTGACAGATGAGGGGAGTTCGGAACGAGGGAGGCTGGGAAAGAGTTGAGAATGACTCTACAATTTCTCATTTGAGAACTGACTTTGAAGCCTAGGGCACCTCAGTCCTGCAATTGCAAGGAACTAAATGCAGCCCAAGAACCCAAAGGAGCAAGCAAACAGACTCTCCTCTGAGCCTCCAGAAAGGAGCACAACCCTGTCAACACCTTGATTTTAGCCCAGTGAGACCCGTGTCAGACTTCCAACCTTCAGAACTGTGAGATAATAGTTGCGCTGTTTAAATCACTATGTTTGTGGTCACTTTTCATGTCAGCAATAGAAAAGTAATATAAGGGGGCTGTCCTTGGTTGTAGTTAGGGCATTTCTCATATTTAGACAGGATCAGAGGACAAAAAGTTAATGGATACTAACAAACAGTGTAGAGATATAGAAACTGTTGAAGAACCCAGATCAGAAGTTAGATGAACTCTGCCTCTCAGGGAAATGTAAGCTCTAAAGATCTTTCCAAGAGTATGTTGCACAAACGCCCCACAAGCGAATGTCTGAGCTCAGTCTTAAATGATTTGTTAGCCTCCTTCTCCTCCCCAGGCATATGCTACCTCCAGCAAAAGCGGCTTTATCCCTCTGATTGATTAGCCATTGTTAAGGAAGGCTTTCTTTGCTCTCACATACACATCTGTCATGGGAAACACAATTAATGCTTTATGTTTAAGAGAAGAAACATAGAGAGAGAGCCACCTCCCTTAGCAGGAGAAGAGAGCCTCTGGCGGTAAGAAAGCAGAACCTACCAACTTGAGCAAACAAAGTAAATAAACAATAGAAACAAAATCAAAACAAATCCAGTCCCAGGATAGGAAGGAGTCAGAAGATTCCGAGTAGAAAGAAATAGAAATGGATGGATGAAAATAGAATAGATGGATGAGTGAGTAGATGGATGGAAAAATGGATGGATGGATGGATGGATGGATAGATAGATAGATAGACAGACAGACAGATAGACAGATAGATAGAACTGAAGGAACAAAGAAAGTTCCTGAACCTCACCATATGGACAATTTATATATAGATCTGTGAGAGTTCACCCCTGCTTGTGCAATTGGGCACAGGACTGCATGTGTGTATGTGCAAATGCACACACTCACGAGCATCACTCATGGAGTTTAAAATTTGCAAGTACCTGAATGTTGTTTATAGAGAGTAGAATTTAAAATGTCTATCCAGGAATTCTGTTCTCAACCAGATCATTCTGTAGGATGTCTGAATGATCCTTCAACTCCATCCACTTCTCCCAAACCCCATTTCCATAGACAGCAGAGGGGGAGTGATGAAGAACATGGACTCTGGAGTCAGACAGGCACTCTGTTTACAAATCCCAGTTCTGCCACTTACCAGTTTTGTGACCTTGAGCGTGTCACTGAACCTCTCTATGCTTCACTTTCTTTTCCTGTAAAATGGGGATACTCATAGCACCTCCCTCACCAGGTTGTTATGAGAATTAATGAGTTCACATTTAAACAGCCTAGACTACTAATGACCGGCGAGAATTCTACCAGTGAACCACCAACGCTGCCGATTAGACTACTAATAGACATCTCCTCTGTCCCCTCAGGATTCATGCCCACCTTGATTCCTCACACGTCCTACATGTATCCTGGTATATACACTATTTTTTAATTATCTGGTTTTTTGTGTATACATTCCCACTAGACCATAAGCTCCATGAAGGCAGGGACAACATCTATCTGGTTTCACTTTACTTTTCTCAACTTATCTCACGTGCTCACAAAATCAAGGATGAAATGGAGTTTTCTCTTTCATTCAAAGTTAAATTCCTGGAGTAAAGGCATAGATGCTTAAAAGATTTATCAGTACCTAGCTCTCATCTTTGGGCAAGTCATTTCACTTCTTTGGGTCTCCATTTCCTCTTCTGTTGAATGACAGGGCTAGGCTAGGTTATTTGTAAATTTGCTTCTAATTCTATAATTCTACAATTCTGCACTATATTTTTCTTCCTGGCCTCATCTGAAATAAATTGTTAGAGCAGTTTGGATGAACGACACTTAGTAATTTGTTAAGACCATTACTTGAGTATCATCTATCACCAGACGTGGTGGCCTGATGATAGTGATGGCCCCTAATCTGTTCACAGACCTCTGTATCCATAACCTTGGATACTCTCTCCCACACTGACTCTAGATTTGGCCAGGTAACTTGCTTTAACCAATGGGACCATAGCAAATAGGATGCAAGTAGAGGCTTGGAAAGCACTTGTGAGTTGGGGCTTGCTCTCTCTTGCTGCTCTTGGACTCCTGCAGCCTCCGTGTGAAGAAGCCTGCACTAGCTAACTGGATGAATAGAAACATGTCATCCAGTCACCGCTATCGTACCAGCCAACAGCCAGTCAACTGCCAGACATGTGAGTGAGGTCATACCAGATAATCTAGCTACCAGCTGACTGTTGACACACAAGCAAGTCCAGCCAAGATTAGCTAAGCCAGCCCAAACCAGAAGGATTGCCCAACTGGCTCACATATTTACGACCTAACAAATGGTTGCTCTTTTAAGCCATCAAGTTTTAGGACGTTTTGTTACACAGCAAAAGCTCACTGATACCTCAAGGAGTAGCCCAGATTCAAAGCCCCTTATTGGTACTTCCAGATCAGTTCCCTGCACACCAGTCATTTTTAATGTATCCACCCCAACTTCATTTCTAATATTCAAGAGCAAATCTGACATAGGCAACCAAGTGAAATCCAGGCTTTAGGAGAAAGTCAATTTGTGTTTGTTTCTTCTGAAACCTTGGACATTCCTTCTTTGCCTCAGGGTGGTTAATTTTTTTTCTTGAATATAATAGGTATAGAATAGAATAAATATTAACTTACTCAACTATGATGACATAATCCACTTATCAAACACAGCTTTGGAAGTTAACATTGTGCCAACTGTTTTGCCCAAATGTGTAATTTCCCACAGGAATTGCTTCATCTTGGAGGGCAAAGAGTCATCCTTCTTTGCCCTTCACAGTGCCTACTGCAGCATTTCAGTGATTTCCAGATGTAAATCATGGCCTTGTTAAATTTATGAAATTCCCAAGTGGCAAACACTGGGTCATCAATCTTTTATTTTTCCAAACAAGAACATTAAAAATGGTTGTCCACTATTGCAATCAATTTGTAAAGTAAAGATAATT